TTCTGTGATCATAAGCAAGTCATTCCACCTCTCATTTTCCCCAGGAAATTCTCTAAAACTCTCAATTATAGATGAGCACTGATGGATTCCCTACATGGGAGAAATACCAGATTTTTAAAATGATGAGCATAATAATAAATACAGGACCTACCTCACAATGTTGTAATGATAATTATATACGATACATATATTCCCATTTGACCCTTATTCTTTGTCACTTTACATATATATCTTTATAACTAATCATATATCTCTTTATTACTGATTATATAATTTATTATATATTATTATATGATCAGTAATAAAATATATAAAGAATAAGGATCAAATGGAAATGTATTATTATTAATAAAGATTATTATACAATGTACATATTATACATAATAAAGATATATGTATCTTTTATAAACCTTGAAGGGAAAGCAAAGAGAATAAGTCTTTATGTTGCACCGTCTATGTGCCAATAACTATGAGCACTTTAAAATTATTATCTCATTTTTCCCTCACAACAACCCTGCAAAGTAGGTACTGTGATCACTTATCGTATAGTAGAGGAAACTGAAGCAAAGAGAGGTCAAGTGAGTTGCCCAGGGTCACAAAGCTAGTAAGTGTCTGAGGCTGGATTTGAACTCAGGTCTTCCTGGCTCTAGACTCCACGCTCTATTGACTGCGCTACCTAGCTGCTAAATGCCAGCTTTTCCTTATAGTTTTGTCTTCATATTGACAAGGAGGGCACAAGGAGAGACTGGAAAGGGACAAAGAGACGCTCTCTCCTTTTCCCAGATATCTGGTAACCCATATCTTGGTCCTATAGACTCAGTCATGGTTTTGGTGTTTTCTCTATTCCTTCTGCTTAGCTAGGAATACAGGATGAGTGGCCTCAGCCTCATCCTTCCTAACCTCTCTGAAGTATTTAATCACCCTCTCCCCAAGGGCTTCTCTCTTCTCTGGGCTTCCGTGACACTCTCGGCCTTCCACTGGCCTGAACAATCCTTTTCAGTCACTGCAGGATTATCCAAGCCACACCCCTAAACAGGAATGGCCCCGAAGGCCTTTCACCCTGGATTCTCTCCACCTCTTTTCTTTCTGCATTCATTCACTCGTTAATCCCGTCAGTTACTCTAAGTTCAATCATCTTCTCTGTGAAATGTCTTCCAAATCTATAAATTCAGCCCAAAGCTCTCTGCTGAGCCAGTCTCACATCACCAAGGTACTGGACATTTGAATTGGACGCCCCGTAGACATCTCAAACAACACATTTAAAACAGAACTCACTATCTTTCCCACCAAACCCTCTCCGTTCTTAAATTTACTTATTTCTTTCAAGGGTACCACCATTCTTCTAGTCATACATGCCTTGGCATCACCCTCCAGTCTCTATTCTCATTAACCATATATACATTCAGCTGACAAATCTTGTCATTTTTACCCCCATAACACCTCTCTCATTCATCCCCTTCTATATACTCACACACCACCACCCTCTTTAGGCTCCCATTACCTGGAATATTGCAATGGTTACTTCCTTGTTCTCCCTGCCCAAAATTTCTCCCCTTACCAAGCCAAACTCCATACAGTCGCTAGAATGATTTTCCTAAAGAGAAAATCTCATAACCAAGAGAACATTGTATACAGTAACTGCAATACTGTTGGAAGAATAATTGTGAACCAAGTTATTCTCAGTATTATGAATACTCAAATCAGCCACAAAGCACCTAAGAAGGAAGGTGCTGTCCATGTCTAGACAAAGAACTGATAGATAGAAGGATGCATAGTATGGTTTTACATATCTTTATAAATCTGTGTCAAATGACGGGTTTCTCTAGTGCAGGGTGGGGAGGGAAGGAGAGATACAGTTCGGAACTTAAAATGTAACCAAAAAATAAATATATTTTTTAAAAAGGGTGGACTTCACCATATTGCTCCACTATTCAATTACCTCCACATCATCCCTATTATACTTTCATGATAAATTATAAGTCCTTTTTTTGTGATACAGAAACTCTTCACAACCTGACCCAACATACCTTTCAGTCTTACTACACATTACTCCCTTCCATGCACACTTAAGTCCAGTTAAACTGGCCATCTTACAATTCCTCATACACAACATTCCATTTTTCACTTCTCCCATCTCTGACATCCTCCATTTCCCTCTCCATCATCCCCGCCTCTCATCTCCCTCCCTTTCCCCCACCCCCTTCCCGTGGAATCCTTGGTTTCCTTCAATCCCACCTTTTGAATGAGGCCTGTCCTGCTCTTCCCTGCCTCCTCCCCCATCCCTTACAAACCTTTCCCCACAAATTTGCCTTTAATCTGCTTTTTACGAGTTTTGCACATACTTCTATGTGCATACATTGTCTCTCCCCTAAGATATGAGCTCCTTTGAAGTCAGAGAATGTTTGCTTTTGTCTTTAGTGAGGGCACTTGGTAGGTTAATTGATTGATTGAGGAGGGTACCAGGAACCAAATAAGAGTCAGGACACTTGAATTCTAGGCCTAGTTTTACTCCTAATTATCTGTGCTACCCTGAATAAACCAGTTAATCTTCTAAACGCAAGGTTCTATAGGGAAGGCATAATAGATATATAATACATTCCTTCCCTTGGAAGACCATAGAGTAACATATTTAGAGTGAGAAAGGACTTTAGCGATCATTTAATCCAATCTTCTTATATATAAATGGAGAACTTATGGCCCAGAGAAGTTTAAATGACTGGCCCAAGGTCATCCAGGAGCTCACAACCAAGTTGACAAAGAAAGATTTTCACACATGCAATAGAACTACATGGGACAGAAAGGCCAAAAATATTTATAATCAAGGGCAAAAACTTACCAGTCTATGTTCAAGGCCAGGTAGAGGAGAAATAAATGTTGGCCAGAGTTAATGGTGACGTTTTCATGGAAGAGTTGGGCCTTAAGATGAGCCTTGAAGAATAGTTAGGATTTGGACAGATGGAAAAGGGGCAAAAAAGTATTTCCAATTTAGACAATAAATCATTGAACTCACAAGCCACAATGTGATATGGTGAGTAGAGAGCTAGGTACCTTTAGAGGCAAAAAGACCCCAGGCCAAGTCTTTACTCTGATAGGTACCAGCTGTGTGACTCTGGGTAAGCAACTTAACCTCTGAGGCACCAGGCAACCCTTTCAGACTGCATTGATTGTGTTCGAGAAGTAGCTTTTTCTCAACTTGGAGTTTCTTCAACCATTGAAACCACAGGTTGAGGTTCAGTCCCTGTTTACTCTCCCTCATCAGAGCCTTCCCCGGCCAGGATTCTCACTTATCAGGGCTCAATAAACAGTTAAACTCTTGACAAGTTGAACTATCAGAAGCATTGAAAGACTGCAGCTAGAATGTCAATAGAACACAGAAAATAAATTGCATAAAACACGGTGATTTCAGGCAGAGATTGCCTAATCTATCTGAAACTGTTTATATAATAGAGGCGGGAGTTGGCTTTCAGCATCTCAGGTGTAGAATTCATTGGCTTAGATTTGTGCTGTGAGGACAGCATCTGGACATTAGTTGGAGTTTCCCTCCCTCCCAATATTATTATTCCCCTTTTTAAAGTGGGAATAAATGCTATGCCCTGTGAGGCTTCACATGTAATAAAACCACAAGGACATCTGGCTGCTTGAGCTCAATAAGCTATTTTAAGTATTTTCTCCTGGGTCTCTTCTCATTTTCCAGTTACTGGGAAGTGGGGAGAGGGAGTGGCTCACCAATTTCTTTCCTTCTGTTTCGGTTCAGCAAACCATCCAGGCAAGTTGCCAGGACAGTGAAGCCATTCCTAGTGGGGTCTAAATACTACAGATGGCAGATGCCAGGGCTGCATGACCTGGGAGACCCTTAGGAATCCATTATTTCTTCCTATTCCTACCCTCCTCCCCCACCCCCACATTCCTTAGTGCTCACACAATACTTCCCAATCTGAACTTGGGTCGTGCTGACCCCAGGACCAACACTATCCGGGGTCACATCAAGGCTTCTCTGGGTGACAGATGTCCAGACACAGTAACTCATTGTCTGTTACTTTCACTGATTTTCACTATCATTTTTCACTGATGATAAAAATCACTAGACCCGATCAGTTCCTTGAGGATGGTTTGAACATTTTTTTTTTTAGGAGAGGAAGGGGATTGGACATGTTTTCCATGGCCCTTCCAATCACACCACACATGATCAATATGATGCCCCCAGAGGAATCAGCAGCGTCCAGACCTTGGGGAGGTAAGGAGAAGGACGTAAGGTCCCACAAGGAGGGACTCTGTCTTCTTGAGCCCTCCAGGGCCTGGCCTGGGCCGCGGCACCGAGGTCAGTCTAGGCTCTCATGTTCTGCTCTTCAGTCTAGCACCCTGCCTCCTGTTTGCTTTAATTCCCGATTCCCCCCTGGAAATCAGACTGAGTCCTCCGAGGACAGAGCCCAGGAGCCCTCCTCCTGGGCCAGGGAACATCAGCTGTTTAAAGCCCCCCTTGGTGGGATGCGGACTGGCCCTTGGCGCTTTAGAGCCTTGTGAGGCGGGACCATTACTACTCTCCCTTTCTACAGATGGGGAAAATGAGGCCGGACAAATGAAGTGACTTGCCCAGGGTCACCAGGCCAGAGGGGGTCTCGGGCAGGGCTGTCAAACGAGAGGGCTGGACCGGAAGGGCCTAAGGGACCTTCAGGGTTTGGCTCTTTAAGAGTATGATCCAGAGTCTGGGGAGGCAGGTTCAAATCCCAGCCAGGACAAAGTCAGTCAACGCCCCTCTCTGCCTCAGTTTCCTGGTCTGTAACAATGGGTAATTAGACTGGAGGTGCTCAGAACTCCCTTCCAGCTCCACTTCTAGGAAGGTGCGGGCAGGCCAGGAAGACGCTCCCCTCCCCCTCCACCCCCATCAGTCCCCACGGGAGCCGCCGGGGGAGGAATCCTTGCACCACGTGAGCAGGGAACCGCGGCTTCCGTGTGGTGTTTCCGGCCGGACAGCTTTGTGCGGAGGACCGGAAGAGGGACCGCCGGGAGCGCCGGTTCCGGCGCCGATTTGCCCGGGGAGAGGAAGAGGGAGGAGAGGCGGCTCCCCGCGCCATGGGGGGCTGGAGGCTATTGGCCCGCGCAGCCGAGGGGCTGTGGGCCCTGGGCGGCGGAGGGGGCTGCGGGTACGTGGGCCTCGGGGCCGGGGGGCTGGGGTGGGGGGCGGCGCGGGGGCGCCCGGGGCTTGAGCCGCCAGGGCCCCCCCTCCCATCGGGGACAGGGGAGTGGGAGGGTCGTGTTCAAGGTCACACCGGGAGCGCGGCAGGTCGTGCCCTCGTAGGCGCTTAATAAGTGCTCGACTCTCTGAGCGTTACTAAGTGGCAATCGGTCTGCCGGCATTTATTAAACACCCACGGTATGCCGACGCTGTGCTAAGCGTTTGGGGATACCGAGATAAAGAATCAAATACTCTCTTACGGAGTTTACGTGGCGGGAAGGGAGGTAGAGGCAACGTGGAACACCCCAGTGTCCCCTTAAAGCTGCCCCGAGGCTTCTGGGACGCAGAAAAGTGAAGGTGGGGGAGGGGTGGGATCGGCAGAGGAATGTGGCTTCCTCCGGGGGCTTGGAGCGGAGGCCGAGGCGGTGGCTTCGCTCTGGACCCCGGCATTGGGTCAGCCCTCCTTGCAGAACCTGCTTTTGGTTGAGTGCCGGTGTGGACGAGGGGCGTCCGGCGTAAAGCGCGTTTGAACGTGGCACATCCCCTTTGCCCAGTTTCCGCCTTCGTTACCAAGGTGCATTGGGGTGGTAGCCCCTGGAGATCCGCTCTCTGTCAGGAGCACATCGTCCATTTAGGGATGATTTTGGTCCGCGTGGGAACGAGGAGGATTTCCTCCTGATACGCCTGGTTACTTAATCCAGAACTTAAGGAGTCTGGGATGTCGTCCGTATGAAAACAACCCCCTCACCTCCTTGCTTTAGGGACAGAGTTGTCTAACAGCAGGCCATACTGCTGAGTGAGGACAAACCAGATTAAAACATAATAGGAAAATATTGAACAAAATAAATACAAATACAACGTAATAGAACATAAAAAGAGATAATGTTATCTAAGATAATTGCAGCCTGCGGGATCTTTATGTATGGTTTAATGGCTCCCTGTTTCTGTTTGAGCTTTGATGCCACTGACACTTATAAAAAACGAACACAATTATCTAGTGGCCAGTCTTAAGGTGAGCCTCTCTGAATTTTAGCTAGGTCGATCTTCAAGCCTTCATTTCACTTTCATTCTACTCACGGGGTTATCATCCCAGTTCAGTCCAATATGACTCTGACCTAGACCTCTGCAATATTGGACTCCTACCTGTTCCCTCTACCTCCAGGCTTCCCTTTCCAATTGGTCTTTCACACAGTTGCCAAATTAATATTCTTAGAGCATAAGTCTGAACCAAGCACTCCCCGTTCAGAAGGCCTCGGTGTCTCTCTTGCCTTTAAGATCAAACACAGACTTCTGCATTTGATCCTTTATCATCTAGATCCAGTGTGCTGTTTGTACACCCATTTTGCATGACCCCTTTCATATAGTTCTGTTCCATCCAAACTGCTAATCCTTTATATGCTGTTCTATCTCCCACCTCTGTGGATTTGCACAGGTTTTCCCCTTCCCCGAAATGTTCTCCCTCCTCACATCTTATGATCTCTAGCTCCTAAAGCACCCATCACTGATACTCAAGAAGCTCTAGGGACTCCTTGTTGTTTGCTTCTAGGATAAAATGTTAGCTCCTCTTTTCAGCATTTAAGGCCCTTCACAATCCAGCCTCTTTCCAGGCTGATTATACCTTCCTTCTTCTCACACTCTGCACTTCACCAAACTGGCCCATTTCTGCTTCCTCCCACCTCCATGCCTTTGCCCAAACCAGGGGTGGGGAACCAGTAGTCTCAAGGCCACGTGTGGCCTTCTAGGTCCTTAGGTGTGGCCTTTTGACTGAGACCAAGTTTTACAGAACAGATTCTTTTATTAAGGGAATTTGTTCTGTGAAGTTTGGATTCAATCAAAGGGCTACACTTGAGGACCTAGGGGGCCACATGTGGCCTTTGAGGCTGCAGGTTCCCCACCCCTGGCCCAAGCTATTCACCATACCTGGAATGCTCTCTTAACCTCTTCTCACAAGCCCCAGCCTTCTTCAGGGCTCACCTTCTTCAAGGAATCAGAGTTAGCTTGTTGAAAGAAACTTCTTTCAAAAGGCTGAAAATATGCATTTTGTTTATATCTTGTATTTACTTGCCCCCTAGTACTGGGGTTCTTAACTAGGATCCATGAATTTACTATTTTGCTAATTGTATTTCAGTATAATTGATTTCTTTTGTAATCCTGTTTCATGCATTGAAGAACATAATTCTGAGGAGGCCATATACTTCCCCAGACTGCCAGAAAGGTCTGTGACACAGAGAAGGATTAAGAACCCTTGCAGCCTGGTAGAGTGGAAACTGCTAGAGGGCGGACACCCCCACTTCTGTATCTGTAGCCACAGTTCCTGGCAAATACTTTATCATTGTTTAATCAGTGAAGCAAATTGATAGGATGTGCTGGAGCTGTTAGACATCAGGATTGCCAGAGACGACATCCAGTGAGCTCTTTAGTAGAGTAGATATGCCCTTAAGGAATGCTGGTAGGGTTTCAGATTTAAAAAGGTAACTTTTCAGTTCTTGTAGCTTTAGTTCCTTCTTTGATCATTGACCTTTTTTTTTTTTTCCCCACAGTGCTCCTCTGTGCCAGATTGGAAGGAATGATTTGACCTGTTTTCTCTTACCTTGACAGGTCGCACTTCAGCCTTATTGTGAGAAGCACACATGGGGCTAGTTCTACCTGGTGGCATGAACATCTGTCTGAAGAAAATTATAAGTTTCTTAAACAGTTAACTGCTGAAGAGTACAAGGCCCAAACTGCAAGTAAACTGTGTCCTCTGAAAGATGAACCGTGGCCCATACATCCTTGGGAACCAGGTATGCATCTTATTTGTTTGAGGGTTTTACTTTTAGGCTCTGGTGACATTTTTTATGTCAGATACAAGTATCTTTCCAATCTTTGGACATAATAAAGTCTATTTGGGGATGAATAAATGATAATCTAATTGTATTTGGGATTTGTGTCAAACTGTCTTAAACCTCTAGCCTTTCGCTGAAAAGGTTCCCTACTAGTAAATGATTTTTTGAGTGACTTCTCGTATTGTACAGTTAAACTGTATAAGGAGAGAGGATCATTTTGCTTAGATATTCAAAATCAGACTCAATTAAAAAAAAAGATTACCTAAAAGAATTAAAGATGAGTAAGATGTGTTACCTAGAGCGTCAGTGTCCGTGGGATGTTTCAGTATACAAGGGCTGCCATAGATTCTGCTTCTGTAGTCTGGTAATGTGCTTGCTATGAGTTCTTGCAGGTGCTGCGATGATCTGGGCCTTCTTTGTGTGCATTCTGCTGTGGCGTTTGTATGGTACAGTGATCAGAGGGGCTGAGTGTAGCTTCTTAGAGTTCATGAGCAAAATCTAACTTGTGGCAGCGGATTTGACCAATTTGCTATAACAGTTCCCACCGTCCTGGACTCTCCCAAGTGCCCTAGCTGTGGTCCTAAATTTTGGGCCTTGAGTCTAGGAACATTCATTTAATACATTGAGAGTAGATGGACATTGCAAAAGAATAAAAGTGAGTTTAATGCTTCAAAAACTATTGTGTTTGAGCAGTCAGTCCCTGGTTGGTTTGTGTAAATTCCTATACTGTTGGGTTCCTGCATGTCTGTTACCAATAGCTGTATGTCATCCGTTTGTTGAATATTTGTATGTTTGAATAATAAATATTTGATATGCAGCTGGTTGTATAGTACACAGAGCACTGGGCTTGGAGTCAGGAAGACCTGAGTTCAAATCCAGCCTCAGACACTTAGCAACTGTATGACCCCGGACAAGTCATTTAACCTGTTTGCCTCAGTTTCCTCATTTATAAAATGGGGATAATAATAGTACCTATCTCTTGGGGTTGTTGTGAGGATCAAATGAGATAATACTTGTAAAGCACTTAGCACGGTGCCTGGCACACAGTAAATACTACATGAATGGTATATATTATTTGTGTTGAAGCTGTATTATTTGGGGAGAACAATGATTTTAAGGTTGTGTTGCAAAATGGTGAAATCTTTTTTTTTTTAAATTTCCAGGTTCCTCAAGAGCTGGTCTTATTGTAGCAAAATTGGGCATGATGCCATTATGGACCAAGGATGGTAAAAAACATGCTGTCACATTACTTCAGGTAATAAATGGAAAATAGAATCAATCCCAACAATTGTCACATTAATTATATGTAATGATTATCCACAGACTATGTATATTGTAGGTGGTCATAAATATGATTATATGCCAATGTCCTGTGTAAGACCAGGACATTTTGGCAGGCAAAGAGTGGGGGCAGGGGGGGGTCACAGATATGTCCAGGCCTAGGATTTCATCAGTAGAGGGAGCCCCTGGTGAGGATACCCCCCAAACCAATGCGAATTGGTAACTGCTATGCAACTGAGAGTCTTGGAGAGTTACTTAGGATAAGCACTTGAACCCAGGTTGCACTTATCACAAGGCCAGCCTCCTCACACCCGGGACCAGATAACTGTGGTGTTTGTGTGTTATGGAGCTAAGCACTCTGACTAGTTACTCTGATGGATCTTAATAATGGTTCCTAAAATTTTGCCAGGGATCCGCGTCAAGCTCACTGATTTATACGATTTGCTTTGATCTGGAACAACAAAAACCTAACTTGCTCTAGATCGAGTCAGGGCATCAGATCACATCAAATAAACACACTGATGTGATTGACCTTGTGCTGTACATTCTGGGTTGATGCAGATGAGAACTTTCATCCATCTACTGGTTATTCAAACTGAAATTGTGCTTGTTTTCTGTTTACTTTATCATGTGGGTCAGCCTTGAACTAGATGCCTCAGGACTTCTTCCAGCTCCCCAGTTCTGTGGTTATCTGAACCAAATGAGAGCTCTAGCTCCCTGTTAGAGACATAGTGAAAGCAGTTAGGTTCTTACTCAATATAGTAAACTTACTTGGCCATAGTTTAAGTGTTCTATAAATAATGTCATTTAAATGGAGTTCTGCATTTTAACTTTTCACTTACATGGATTTATCTTTAAGGTACAAGATTGTCATGTTCTAAAATACACTCCAAAGGAAGAATGTCAGAGGAATCGAGGAATCCTCGTAGTAGGAGGAAAAAATGTATCACATTTCTCTGTAAGTTACTGTTTATAAGAGTAAGTAATTTGCATAAGGCACTTATGAATTGTTTTGTGTCTTGAAGCTGTAGAACTACAAATTATTTTTTGGTCTGTGAGCAAATTACTTAAATTTCTATGTCTTTAATTCTGAGCTTTTAAAATTTCTATTTTAAAATGATATCACATCTCTTAATTCCTGAAAATAACCAACTCCTCCATATTCGTGTTTCTCCTTAGCTCTTGGAAAGAAAGATGTATTAGCTTTGTGTTGCTGAGATATATTTTTCTTTAATTGTAAATTATCTGTAACAATGTAAGCAGGCAATAAGCTTAGAGTATAACACATACCACCTACTTTAATAACAACTGACATTTTCTTTAATAAAGCCCAGAAAAGTAGTGCCTAAGTGGGGAAATGGTTCCTTTTCCTTTGACTGGTTCTGTGTGTGCCGTGCACACAGTTGTGCTGAATGCTGGGAGGACAAAGACAGAAATGAAACAGCGCCTGTTGAGAGAGAGAGAGAGAGAGAGAGAGAGAGAGAGAGAGAGAGAGAGAGAGAGAGAGAGAGAAGGATTGTGTACAGAATAAGTATGAGCTAAGTTTTGGGTATAACTCCAGGCGCTGGGGCCATCAGGAAAGGCTTCTTGTGGAAGGTGGCACACGAGCAGAGTCTTGAAGGATTTTGAACAAACAGGACTCACAAGAGGAAGATCACTTTGGCAGGCGCAGGGAGGCTGGATTGGGAAGGGAGAGGCTTGGGGCAGAGGGGCCAGTTAGGAGGCTGTCATAGTAGTCCAGGTGGTGAGTGATGAGGCCTTGAAGTAGAGGGGAAGGGACAAGGTACCAGAGAGATTGTAGCTGCAGCAGCAGAGGGATTTGGCAGCTGATTGGATGTGGAGGATGAGAAGGGTGAAGAGTAGAGGCCGTGCCTGGGTGGCACACCTGGGTGCCTGGGAGGGCAGCAGGGCCCTAGAGAGAAGTCACATGTTCAGAAGCAGAGATTGGGGGGACAGGGGAGACACGTTCATCAGTGTTTGTCAGATTGAACTGAAGGTGCTATTTGTGGCAACAGAACACACACACACACACACACACACACACACACACACACACACACACACACACACACACACACACACACACACACACACACACACTCCTTCCTCATCCTGCAGCAATCTTCACTAGATCTTGCAGTCTCTGCCTCTCTGCCACTCCTTTGAGAAAGCTGTATGCCTGTGGTGCTTCGGCTTTCTTTCCTGTCACTCACATCCAGATTCTTTGTACTCTGGCTTCTGACCTCATGATTCAACTGAAACTCCCCCCCTCTGAAATTATCAGTCATCTCTTCATTTCCACATCTTGTCGCCTTTTCTCAGTCCTCACCCTTCTTGACCTCTCTGTGTCTTCCTCAGTACATTCTTCTTTCTAGGTTTTTGTGACGCTGCTTTCTTCTGGTGGTTCCTTCTTGGTCATTTTGTCCGTGTTACACCCACTAACTATGGATGTATATCCCTCGGGACTGTCCTGGGCCCTCTTGTCTTTTTTGCTCTGTGCTGTCTCTTGGTAATTTCATTAGCCCCCGAGGCTTCAATTACCTTGCACAGGATTACCAGATCTATTTACTTTCCCCAAACTCACTTGTGAGCTACATACTCTCCCCCTACCACCAGTTGCCTTTTAGACAGCTTGAATTGGCTGTTCCATAGGCATCTTAAACTCAGCATGTCAAAAACAGAACTCAGTGTCTTTTCCCAAAAAGCTTTCCCCACCTCCAGACTTTCCTGTTCCTATCAAGGGCACCATGGTCCTTCAGGACACCCAGACCCACAAATTGGTGTCATTCTTGGCCCCTCACCTGCCCTTGGCCCACACATGCATCTCGTTCTGCCCATGCAACAGCTCTCCTGTGTTCCGTTGGTACGAAGTCTCTTGTCTTTTGCCCAGACCAGTATAACCCCCTTCTGACCGAAGCTTACCTGGCCTTGGGCTTCAAGTGTCTCCCTCTCTGCCAAGGGGATTTTTCTGAAGTTTAGTTCTAACCACGTCATCCACCTCCCTCAGGTCTCTCCAATTCCTTTCTGTCCCTAGGATCAAACAGGAACTCTTGTGTTTCGTTCCCTCCCATTCCAGTATTTTTTACATTCAATTGCCTCCCCATCACTCTCAGATTCAGCCGTGCCGGCCTCCCTGCTGCTGCACATGAGAGTCCCCACCTCCTGCCTTAGTGCCACCATGCAGGCCGTCCCTCCCGCCTGGCATTCTCTGCCCTCTCACTTCCTCCAAGACTTGGCTTCTTCTCCCCCCTTCTGATGGAGTCCTTTCCTGGCTCCCCTCACTGCTGGTGCCTTCCTCTTGGATGGGATCTAGGTACACCTCTTTACTTACATGTTCATTCCTTCATTGGGCTGGGAGCTCTTTGAGGGCAGGGGCTGTTTGCCCTTCTGAGGCAGCTACAGAGTGTAATGGATAGCACTGGACCTGGAGTCAGGAAAACCTAGTTCAGATTCTGCCTCTGACACTCACTAGCTGTGTAACCCTGGGCAAGTCACTTAGTCTCTCCCAGCCTTAATTTCCTCATCTGTAAAATGGGAGCATAGTAACAACACCTGCCTCCTAGGTTTGTTATGAGGATCAAATGAGATAACATAAAGCCCACTGTCAACCCTAAAGCAAAACATCTGTAAATGATAGCTCTTGTTATTATTGTTGTTCCCATCATGATCATTATTACCATTATTCGGAGTGATAGACGATAGAATGGAGGGCTCCTCCCCATCAGAGTTTCCTGCCCTGGTTCCTCAGCCGGAGCCTCTGACCAGCTTCTGCTGCTGCTGGCTTGTCTTCCCTCCTTGCCCAGTAGCCGGCCTCAGGCCAGTGACTGTACCACACCCTAGGATGCAGCCAGCAAAAGGTGCAAGTGCCCTCCTCGGTCAGCACTGAATCTGCACATGGTCTTAGGGATGCCAGCTGGTTTTTATTTCTGCTCCCTGCAGATTCAAGGCCCTACCTTTTGTGTCAGGGGCTGCCTCTTGCCTTAGGACACAGCTGCAGGTCCCCAGATTGGAAGGTTCTGTGTAACAGCCTTCTGGATAGACCGTGTCCCCAGTGCCCAAAGACCTCTGTTCATCTCTTTCTGCTGACCTGGGCTGGAAAAAATAAACCCTTGTGATTTCTCCTTGGATTTCCCAATCACTCAGTCTGGTGCTCATTCCGAATCTGGGAGGAGTGTTTGGGGAAAGCTGGGCTTTGTTGCTGCTTCCTGCTCTGCCATCTTTAACTCCCCTGTATAGGAATGTCAGGTATTCCTCTTTGGAGAAAAAAAATGTTTTGAGGACTTAATGAATTCAGGATTTCAAGACTCCTGTAGTATTTAAAAACGATAGTAAGGTTTTTAGGGAATCTTTTTTTTAGTGTTAAATATTTTTATTTTTCAAATGGGTTCCAGATGTCATGGGTGCAGTTCTTTAGATGACAAGTGTTGGTTTTCTATTATTACTTCTTTAATGCGCGGTTGGTCTCTCACCTTCAATATTACAATCAGGTTTGTAAGCATGTGCCTTTTTTACAAATGCTTTATCCTTTTGCAAGTGGTTTGTGGTCTGTATTGCTTTCAGAAGAATTGTGCAAATTAAACTAAAAATGTACTCACTTTGGAATATTTTGTTAAATTTATTCCAAAGATGAAGAAAGAACCGAAAGTCCAGTGTGTGCTTAGAATCCCTCTAAACCAGTATTTATAGACTGGTTCTGCAAAATGATACTACTTTTTGGCTCTCTGAATATAGGTATTATGAAAACATTTCTATGCTAGTAACATTTAATATTTTAGATAGGGAAATGTAAACTGAGACATTAAAAATATTTGTTACATGTGGCAACGTCAGTAGAAAATTTTGTCTCCAGCCTTTCTCCTCCTCCGCCCCCCTCCACACATGATGTACCTTACTTACTGAAGTACCGATTCTCCATTTATGGATTCTTTCAGTATATTTCAAGCCCCAGTACTGCACGGCCAGATTAATTTTGGAAGTGCTGTCCTAAACTCTGTTCATTCATGCTAATGATTCGATTTGACTTGCCTCACCTATTCATTAGTGAGTACTACTACTGCAACAGAATGCTTCCATGGAGCCGTTGCATTTCCTCCGTAGCCCTGGTTCCCAGTCCAGTCCTGCTCATCCTGTGGCACCCCCTGGCCATATTTTTGCATAGCTCCTCCACAGAGGAGCTCCTCAACATGCCAGCGGCTTCCTTGGAGGCATTTCTTTATTTTGTGGGTATTAGTCACTGGACTGTTCAGCTGTTTTCCTTGCTCGTTCTGCACAACCCTCCAATCTTCTTTTCCAATTACACATTTCCTCACTGACATCCCTTATGCCACCTGGAGAGTAAGCCGCCGTGTCTGCTGTGTTTTTCTCCATTGCCTTTTGAGTTACCTGCAGTTTTGCTTCCTTGGAAACCATACCTCATTTTTTTAATGATCCATCTCAGCATCACAGAGTAACCACCACATTTGGACCACCTCAGGCCTCAGTTTACTTTTCAGAGTAGAAGTAGCATTTAAGACAAAGTTGGGAACAAGGCCAAGTATAGACTGAGGAGATCTTTGTCAGAGAGTTTGCAAAAACAGTCTTAAACATTAGAAATCACTTTACACGTATCTCAGGGAAAATAACATACCAGAGGAATGGAAAAAGCATGGATAATAATTGTGGCAGTATTTTTCTCTCCCAAAGCATTATAGAGAACATTGATAATTGGTGACCCATAAACAGATTTCCTTACCTTTTTAGAATCTTTCATAGAATTATTTACCCCATCAATTGAAAGATCCAAAAAATACAAGATCTCCATTTTTGTTGTTGTTAATTGCAAAGACGTTTGATTCAGCAGAGCAAAATACAGCCTTAGACTCTCCTCCAATAAGGGGTCTCTTGCTTAAGTACATACAAGACTCCTTAATAATTGCAACCCAAGAGATATAACTTTGTTCACCAGTCTCCTGGTAATTA